TATATATATATATATATATATATATATATATATATATATTTATATTATTTTATAGTTCAATTGATTTCCAACAAAATTTTTCTGTTAAACTCAAAATTTAAACAGAAAAAAAAAACAATTAAAGAAAATTCTCCCCAAAAATATATACACATACATATATAAATAAAATAATAAAGAAGAAACTCAAAAAACAAAAAAAAAACAAAAATAATTATATTACTGTATAAAATAAATTTAAACACCAACTTTTCTTACGATAGAACGACAAAACGTCTTCGTGAAAATAATTAAAAATCCCGACGAGACAAACAGAAGAGAAAAAAAAAACCAAAACAAAATTTACAGTAACATCTAAATAAAAATCAAATCAAATCAAATCGAAAAAAAAAATAAACTGAATTTAAAAAATGTCTGATGATATCATGAAAGATATACAGTAATAATTGTACAACAATTCGTCGAAGTTTTGATCGAAAAAAAAAAAAAAGGCAACTTTCAGAGACGAGAAAACGCAACGACGACTTATCGTCCCGGCTCGCCGTGATGGAACTGAGGGGAGCTGTTTCGTTCCACGTTCCTTCGGTTCTACTTTAACCCGTTCGTTAAATTCCGCCAAAGCTCGGATTAGTTCGTTCATTCTCGATGATAACCGAGTATACCCGAATCCCCACTCTGTAACCATCAAACTTCAACGAAACATTACGAAGAGAACTTATGGTAGGTACTGGGGGCTGGGGGGGTTGATAGGGGGGTGTGGAGAGCCAATAAGGTACGAGGGGAAAGGTGGGAAACCTCGACAACCTCGACGGATGTCGACTTTGCTCGGGTCGAGGCCGAACAACCAACCGTTTTCTATGTTTATTTCATCTTATTCTTCTAACCAAAGATGAAGGAACGAGATGGAATGGGGATGCGAATTGGGGTGGGGTAGGGTGGGGTAGGGTTGGTTGGATAGATTCCTTTAGGAGGACTATGATGTTTTTTTTTTGTATTTTTGACCTTTCCTATTTGGTAACTCATCGTTTTATTTTATTTTATTTTATGGTTTGTCTGATTTCACAAATTCCACCTAACTTCTAAATTAACCCTCATCCCTCTCCTCTCCTCTCCACTTTCTTTTCCTGTATCCTCCAGCGATTGAAACTACTCTCCTATAGACAAGGTAACTTGCCGAAAAGTTTTCTAAATATCCCTCTCCTCTTAAAAAACCCCATAAGAAACCCCGGTAGCAAGATAAAAAACGAGATACCTTTTATCTTTTACTGTGTTCCAACTAATAATAGTGCAGACGAGCCGCACTTTTGCTTTTCAGATTAAATGGTCGTCTGGAAAGGAACGAATAAAACATCAAGGTCGAAAAAAAACCTTTGCTCTATTGATCCTTCAGGGGGTTATCGATTATTATACTCGTAGTTGAATGGTGCTGCTGATGCTATCGATACAACCCAACCATTCTAAAGAATTTTCTTTGAATTTCAATTCCTTTTTGTTCATTTTGTTATCTTATCAAAAGTGTAATAACAAAACTTTTTATTTATTTCTTGGAATGTAACTGTACTTACATTTCATCCCCCTTTTATTCAACCCCTCAAACCACCATTACTCGATACAGTCCAATCATTCTAAAGAATTATCTTTGAATTTGAATCCTTTTTATTTTCATTTTAATCTTATCAAAAGTATATCGAAATTTTTTATTTATTTTTTCGAATCTTACTGTTCTTAAATTTCATCCCCCGTTTACTCAAACCCCCTAAACTACATAAAGGATCTTTTTTTTTTTTCAAAACAAAACCAGAACGTATTCTACCATTTCGATTGAATTAGTCATCAGAAAAAAACTACAATCTAATCAAAAATAAATAAACTTTGATAATTCTAAATATATATATATATATAAAAAAAAACCAGAACGAGTATCTAGAATTTCGATTGAATTTTTTTGAATTTGTCAACCAAAAAAAAAAAAAAGAAAGAACACGTTGGTTGTTTACAAGATTTTCTTAACAATTCAAGTATATTTCTTATCTTAGATCATTTCAATCTACCATCTGTAATTTATCTCACCACAAAGTAATTAAAAATGTTTTTTCTTTCCCATCCTACAACTCACAGGAACCCATATTCACCAGTACCAGTACCAGTACCACCATCACCATCAACAACAGCAGCCCCAGTAGCAGCAGCTCCAGTAGCAGCAGCTACAGAAGTATTATCATTATCATTATCATCATCATCATGATCATGATCAACAGCATCAGCATCAGCATCAGCATCAGCAACAGCAACAGGCATCACGGAAACGGGACCTGGCAAACGTTTAGGCTAACAGCTTCCCGTGTTCCGACGACTGTCTAAACTTTTGTTTTATATTGTTTTTTTTTTTTATTTTCATCTATTTCTTTCTAACACAACGTTAAGATATACACACAGCCCCCCACACACACACACACGTACAGACACATATAATTTTTTTTTTTTTGGTGTTATATCTCTGTCTATTTGTCGGCCTCCCAACTCGCGAACGAAACCCACCATTACGAAACGCGAACGAAAAAAGGAGGAGCATTTAATATATATTCAC